GAAAAGTTTTCCGCAGCGTTCCCTGAAATATTTACCGTTTAACTTTTTAGACGAAAGATGGCGCTGTATTTAGGTATTTCATAAAATAAACTAAAACCAGGGATATAATTTTATTGCTATAGTTTGCTAACTTGTATGATATATTTTAAAGGGAAAACCTATCCACTTAATAAATTTCTATCATAACAAAATTAATGTATATATTTCCACCGTTTTAAATGGCTGCGTTGTTGAGTTTCGAGTGTATCTAAGTATATAACCTATAACAATAGTCCAACTATAAAACTAGAGAAAATAAATGTCTTATGATAGCAATGAGAGTAGACCTTCTGATCACTACGAGTATAGTGGTTAAAGACTTGTGTTTAGATCATTAGGTCATTTGGAATAGTCAGCTATGGAATGAAAAACCTGTTATAGGCATTATATTTATTACACAAACAAAGGACGTACACAAATGTAAATACCAAACTATTCATTCCTCCATTCCTTCGTCCGCCGCCTCTTCGTCGAACTCCCCCTCGTCGTCCGCTGTAGCATCCTGGTACTGCTGGTACTCCGAGATCAGGTCGTTCATGTTGCTCTCTGCCTCCGTGAACTCCATCTCATCCATACCCTCGCCCGTGTACCAGTGTAGGAACGCTTTCCGCCTGAACATCGCCACGAACTGTTCGCCTATCCTCTTGAATATACTCTGAATTGCAGTAGTGTTTCCCATGAACGTCGACGCCATCTTCAATCCTCGAGGCGGAATGTCGCACACCGCTATTTTCACATTATTCGGAATCCATTCAACGAAGTATGTGCTATTTTTGTTCTGAATATTAACCAACTGCTCATCTACTTCTTTCATAGACATTCTGCCTCTGAATATAGTCGCTACAGTTAGATATCTTCCGTGTCGAGGGTCGCATGCCACCATCATGTTCTTCGCGTCAAACATCTGCAGCGTCAGCTCGGGGACCGTGAGGGCTCTGTACTGCTGGGCCCCTCGGGAAGTGAGGGGCGCGAATCCGGGCGTGTAGAAATGGAGGCGAGGGAAGGGGACCATGTTAACGGCCAGCTTACGTAGATCCGCGTTCAACTGTCCGGGGAAACGTAGGCACGTCGTAATACCGGACATCGTCGCGCAGATCAAATGATTTAGATCGCCGTACGTTGGCGTAGTCAGTTTCAACGTTCTGAAGCAGATGTCATATAGCGCCTCGTTGTCTAAACAGAACGTATGATCTGTGTTCTCGACCAGTTGATTGA